TACATACACTGCTCCGATCTGAATGTTGTTCAAATTCCACCGATTCTTTGGCATCGTTTCGCACTGAAACTTGCGCACATTCAAGCCGACTTGGTTGACCTCTAAAAGTTGCTCATAAGAAATATTTTAGTGGATAAAAAGTGTTTAGCAAAAAAGTATTACTTTTTTTGGTGATGCTGGCAATGTCATTCTTAGTGCAGCTCTTTGGCAGACAAATGCCCAGCTTGACGTAGACGTAGTAAAAGACGGAGGCCTTCGCTTCAAGGTGCCGATAAATGGTGGAGTTGCGCAGAAATGGAGTTGACGGGTTAGAAGATGTAGTAGAGTTTAGTTCCGGCAAAACAACTGATTTCTGGTGATAGTTGTGGTACTTGGGCATCGGCGGCATTGGCAGGGCAACGTCGATCAGACAGTACTGCGGCACAATGACCGGCGGCGAGCTCGACTGATCTTGAGCTTGGTCAGCGGTCAGACACTGGTCGTAGTCGCCAAAGTCGGTCAGCGTCCCGCGGGCTATGCCACTGGGCGGAAATTTGCCCCAGGCATTGAAGAGCTGCACGGCCCAGGTTTGCCGGTTGCGAAGGGCTTCCAGCACCCGGAAGAGGTCATTGGAGCAGTCAGTGCTGACGGCCTCACTCTGCAGCACCTCTCGGTGAAGGTCAATGTACGGAGGGAGGAAAGCGCGCTCAAAGGTGGACGTCGGCACGTTCACCAGTTTTCTCCAGACATAATCATCATCCGTTTTTGAAAGCCTAGAAATTTCAGCTGCAAATGTAAGGGGAAGAAAAAACTGACTGAAGCAAACTGAAAGGAGCAATAACACAGTAACTGGCAACCGCAACAAGCATTCACAGTGAAGATTCATGATGGCAATTGGTGAAGAAGATAAGAAAAGGAAAAAATGCAGCAATTTTAATTGAACAAGTAAAGAAAACAACAATTTTAAAAAAAAAGTTGATGGAAAAAAGAATTGAATGTGGCGGTGGCGTCGGTGGAAGCAGCAGAAGCTGCATCAGCAGTACCGATAAAGTATTGCCGACATGGCGGACAAGTTGAACAGTTGCCCAGTGGTTGTGAACAAAGGAATATATCTTCCTTTCCCTTTCGGCTGTCTCAGGTTGACACACACATAGAGCACATTTGCACCTTAGGACGTCTCCTCTGAGGGCTGCTGCCACTTCACCGTCTCTCTTTTGAACATTTTTCACTTTCATTTCTTCTCTTTTGTTTTTGGCATTTCAACTCTCTAGCAATCCACCAGTAGTTGCAGCTCACTTTTGGACATTATGTAAACTGTGCATTAGGTTCAATGTAAAAAATCTAACAGGTAATTCAACAGGTATATAAACAAATAAATCTCTTCAGAGTAGAGTGTGTTCCTCTCAAGTGTCTCATTGTGTTTCTCCCCCCCCTTCTTTCCTGCTTCTTTTACGGCCACTAGCACCAGCACCACTTTCTCTCATCACACTTCCTTCCCCTTCTCCTTCTCGCATCATTGTCTTCATCATCTTCTTTTCTTCTTTTTCATCTTTGATTGTGTCCACCACTGACAATATTAGCACCGCCACTTTGTCAAATATTTAGCTCTGCCGCCACTGCCGCCGCCGTCGCCTCACACCAATTAGAAGCTGTCCGCTACTAGGCCAATTGAATGCAAGTTTCATTTAATTTGAATTGGACTTTTTCTTTCTCTCTTGTCCGTTTATTATTATTACCTTAAAGGAAAGGTGGTGGCAGTGGCAATCTTAAATCAATAGCCTTCCGAGAATATTGTTTTTTGTTCCTCCAACATCAGCAGCAACACTGGTCAGCAGTGTCGGTGGACAGCGCTGATCACAGTGCTTTTTGCCTGTGACACACTCGACATTGACAGCAGAGTTCCCATGTTTACCAATCAATCAGTTGGCCACTTCTGCATATCGGCAAAGTGTGAGGTGAAACAAACTCAGGAGATGCAGCAGCAGCAGAAACACAACAGCTCAGCAGTGCTCGATTGACTCAAGGTGTAGTGAGTGAGTGAGTGTGTAGCGACTCTTCAAACACTGCATCCCAGATAAAGCACTAACTGACTGACTTTCTGACTGATTGACTGCATTCGCTGTTGATTGGCTTTGTTAGGCACTGGCAACAAAGTGTGCGGTTGCTGCTCTAAAGTGGAGCTGTCTGCAGCTGATGACACCCAAGGTAAACAAATCTCAAAGAAAGATTGCTGTTGCTGCTGCTGCTGAAGTACTAATTGACACTGACAATGGCCCTGCCGTCAATGGCACTGCATGTGAGCATATGTGTGCGATTGCTATTATGAAATGATTTGTAAGAACAACGTCATCGCGCAAACCAGGTAGAAAACTGATTGTCTATTAAAGGTATCCTTGTACTTCGGTATATTTTTAGATTGTCAGGTTCTAAAAATCTTTTCATTCATTAATTGCGAAAAATTGGTCATTTTTGTGACCCCAGTTCTCTTTGCTGGCTTTATGGAAAGCAAAGTGTTTACCCTTTTTTGTTGAGTGGGATGATCAACAATGATGCTGTACAAAAGCAATGTCAAATGATGTTAGTATTTGTTAAAAATTATTTTTATTTTGTTTTTGTGTATTGACAACTAAATGTCGTGGAGCAGTTCAGTGAACAACTTGCCGCTTAGACAACGGGCCACGAGGCAGCGGTGGCAATACCGCACTGGTTCTGCTTGTTTCGCGACATGAAAATGTAGCCGCTCATTCCCCAGCTGGTGCCCCAGCTGTTCTTGACCTTCCAGTAGGGAGTTCCGTTGAGGGCACCGTAGCCGACGGCGGTCACACCGTGGTCGAGGATGGTGGTGGAGCAGGCGGGCTCGTCGTAGACACCGCTCGAGTAGAACTGGAAGGACAGCTGGCTGGCGTCAATTCCGACGGAGATGGGGCCGACAGTGGCCACAGCGGACTGCAGCGAGGACTCGGAGCCGGTCTTCACATCGACGTAGCTCTTGATGGTGGCACCGACGGAGTTCTTCTTGAACTCGCAGCTCTCATCGATGGCCTTGTAGGGGTAGGACATCTCAGTGTCAATGCCCTTGTTGGCGATCACGTACTGGAAAGCCTGGTCCATCAGACCGCCCTCGCAGCCCATGTTGCCCTCGGCGGCGGAGCAATCGACGAGATTCTGCTCAGAAAGAGACACCAGCTTGCCGGTCTTCAGACCGTGCTGACCCTCCATCGAGGCGACGGCGGAGAAAGCCCAGCTAAAAAAAGCAAAACCATTGCAAGTTAATGACAAGGAGAAGCAACTATCTAACGAAATGCTTACCAGCTTCCGCATTGCTCTTTAAATAGAAATTAGTGATTAGAAAAAGGTTACAAGTAAAAAAATTATTTTAAACTTCCACAAATTTAAAAGTTTAAAAATTCTTACCTTGGTTCTTAATAGGGGTCACAACGTTCTTGACCTTTGTCCAATCAACGGTGGCGGGCAGACCCTCGGCGGAGGCGCTGTGGATGGCAGGGGCCGACTGGACGCCAGAGTGGCGCAGACCGTTGAAGCGGGCGCGGAACTCAGTGTTGGACATGTCGGTGAAGTTGTTCACGGCGACGTTGAAGTTCTTGTTTCCGGCAAAAAACTCTCGGTTGTGGTTGAAGATGAACTCAAGGTTGCTGGCAAAAACGCGCTTTCGGAAGATCTCTTCCTCAAAGTTGGCATAGCTTCGGCCGAATCGGGTCTAGTGATTGATAATATAAAAGTTTATTTTAACTGAAACAAATTTTCTACTGCTAATGCTGTTTGTCTTGGTGCATTATAATTACCTTGAATAGGTTAAAATGAGCCTCGAGCTCTCCTTCGGAGATGAGCTCACTGGCGGTGGCGACGGCGACGAGCGCCAAGACGGCAAAGACAAATTTCATGGTGATTTTGTTGTTGCAAATAGGAAACCTTTCTGCGTATACCTCCACCGAAGCAAAGTGGTCAACTTTATATACCAACCAACAAATCAGCAGCCTAAATACAATGACGAAATTAATTTAAAACAGTAGATCAGCCTATTTTGGTTTTAGTATAGCATTCCTTTTTTCAGTGTGTATGAGTGCCAATCACCCTATCAACACGAGGGCCAGATCGCTAAAAGCGAGCACAAGCAGCACTTGAACTCATTGATAGCAAGTGGATCGCTACTTTAGATCCCTTGTCATTTGCTAACAGCTGTGCACGAAACTGTGCACATCTTCTATTCCTAAGTCGTACTAATGCTGCTGAGTTGTGCCAATCACATCTGCTGATAGCATCATATGACCTCTCCTTGGATGAGCGATACCTCTCTGTGCGCCCTTCCACTCTGGCTTAGTGTCTGCAAAGAGGGTGATGAGAAGAAAACACATACACAATTGATTATAAAGACAAACTTAAACCATACGTGTGCTTAATAAC